GCAGCTGTATAATGTCGTACCCGGCCATCGTTTGTCCTTAAAACGTAATGACGTTGTAACGTGTTTGAGATGTTTGATTTATCTGAACCAAACCCGCTGACAATAATAGTGAGTATTTTGGTTTTTAGAGCGTGAAAGCTGATGACATAAAAAAAAAAGATTATAATATACATCAAGCCTATTCGTCGTCAAGTCACGCTCTTACGATTAACATTAACGTATTTTTTATTATTATTATTATTATTATTATTTCGCACTCACTGTGTATAAATCAAGAAACGAAATACTACGCTTGCGTTTAGAGAATCGGGTTATGTTCGATTTCTAATACACAGATGAATTAGTAATACGTCATGATATTAATACGTTGGATGAATATTGGGATATTATTATGTTATGACAAACGCTCTACAAATTAATAATTATAATTCAAATTTAAACATTTTCGATATGACATGATATGATATTATATATACATATGACAACGAGAATATTTACAAAATAACATATTTAAATAAAAATGGTTAAAATATATGTTGTTATCGGCAAGAAAAAGTAGTAATTTAGAAATTCTAATTTTTATCAAATATTTAAAATAGTATTTTCTAGACACGATAATATTTTGAATACATTAAATTAATCAACAATATTCGTTAAAATCACAATGAATATTTTTTTTCCTTGAAAACGCTAAAAAAGGTTCAGTTGTAATATCTTCTAATGCATGAAAGTTAAATACAATATGATTCTTCATTAGTTATTATTACACTCACTAAGTATTCAAAATATTAAAAATGAATCTTTATAATATAATAAAAAATATTTTTTCAATGATTGTTTTGAGTTCAGTTTTTGACGACATTCGCTATGTCAAGGAAAAACAATTTTCTCGGTCAAAGTTAGTTATCTTAATGACATTTAGTAAATTTTAGTTATAACAATTAGGCACTTTTCACATATATAAATATTTTTATAGATAACTGACCTATAAAAATATTAGTGCTTATTTACTAATATTTTTGGCAAAATAATAATTATACCTAATAAGAACATAAACTATTCTAAAAATACAATAATATAATAATCTATTCATAATTTTTACTCTGACTATTCTTTTAGTATTAGATCATTTATAATTTAGCTCCAACTTAATACTTTCATCACAATATTTTCAAACTTAAAAAATACTATACAGCTAAGCGAATTTAACAGTTTGCAAATTGTATTACCGAAAATAGTTTATTTATTAAATATCAACAAAAATTCGTGATATTTTTTACTAAAAATTGTAAGATAAAAAGAAAAAATGACATCTTAAATATCATAAATGAACTGTTTCTATAATCAGTTAATATTAGGGTTTTGAATTTGAAATACTTCAAAACTGAATATTTTACTCTTATCGAAATATTTTAATAAAATATTGAAAAATATTTTTTCTTCTTTTAAACGTGTTCAGTTATAGATGATAGGATATTAAACATAGGAGATATTAATAATGAATAACTTATACTTAGTCGGTCTACAGTGTGTTTAAATTTTTTATATCATAGATCTGTAAAATATCTTCTACATAATATGTAAATATATTGTTACATATTTTCTATGTTTCATACAATAAACCAACTTAATACATAAATGTTCACTTGCAAGTTTATGAAACTATAAACTTTTAGATACAATATATTTTTTATTATTATTTTTTTTTTTTCATTGAAGTAAAATATTTCAAGGAAAACAATTTTATGACATTTTAAAACCCTGGTTAATATTATGAATTGTGATATATTTTATTCTGTTGGTAACTTCACCTATTTTACAATACTCTATCTAGATTTCAAATATCTGATAATTTTTTTTTTTTTAATCAAACATAATAATTAAAATTATTGTATACTTATGTAAGTATTATGTGTGAATTAAATAAATTATTTTTTGACCAAAATAAAAATATTATATAAACGCAATAATCACTTTATAGTAAAATAATACATCATTCCGCGAAAAATAAAATAATGAATTCATCTTTTATGAAGTCATCATTGAAATATAAAACTATAACAAAAGATAGATACTATCGATTTTCAGCATTGATATACAGCACCATTACTTCATTGTTAGTATTCAATTATCCAAACACAAGTACACTGCAGTGTTCACAAAAAATCCATGTATATTATACATTGTATAATAATCTGAAGTTCATTTTATGCCTGTTGGTTTTTATTTGATTCGTTAGCTAAATAATCATTTTATAACATTTTGAGTCAAAATATGATAAGCAATGTTCAGTCAACTTAATCATAAGAGAGTGATATTTATTTTTGTATACTTTAAATAATACAATTTACAGAAATCATTAGAAAATGTTTATGATTGACGCTAACTTTCGCATAACATTAGTATGCTGCTCAGATAAAATGTAATTTTGTGTTTCACTGAAATTCTTGAATTACAAAAATTTGCATATAGCATACGACATTGTAATGTAATCATTCAACTTGCTATTTTTCGTCACAATATCGAATAATCATTAGATCATGTATGATTATCTATAGCAGCGATTTAATTTCAGATACAAAGAAAATTATTAGTTTATTTATATTATCTAGTTGTTATGAACATGTTTTCAAGTAATTTATATTGTAACTATCAGAAGAAAATTAAAGTTGAAAGTACAAACTTCCTCATAAAATTAATCTTAACTTCATCATTTTTAGGTTCATCAATCAGAGTGAGCTAAAGAAGTGGTAGTAATTATTTTATTTCATAACTATCGTAAAAATGTACATGTTTACTTACTTAAAATCAATATAAAATATTAGTCGCAATGTATTATTCAAATTATAAATATTATAAATTGAATAACTAATATATATACAATTAGAATTTTTTTATATAGGTAATATAAAAGCCATATAGCTGTTTGTAAATTTTGAACAAATAATGATTAAATCAAGATATTTAAAAATATATAAAAATGTTATTTAAGAAATATTTAAGTATCATAATTTAACTTATAATATGATTAAATTGGATAATAAAGACTAAAAAATACAACCAAAAAATGAGTGTCCACGTAAAGATACTTGGCTATATTATTTTAAATGTAACATTATGTTTTAATTTCTATAATTAATTCTTAAAAAGTAACAGTAGAGAATAGTTCTACGACGATTATTTTCAATAGGAAACAAAATTAACTACCATTGTATATTACGTATACTGAATTTAATTTACTGTGTTATTCACCATATATTTACCAAAAACAACAATTGTATATTCGATTATAGTTATAATACGTTCGTCTGGCGAATAAATTAGTCGTTAGGAATACGGTCATTCTTTCAACCGAAACGTAATAACAATAATACGAGAATATTAGACATCTGTTATTATTATTATTATTTATTTATTTGTATGGCTTAAATAAATCAACATTACAGCAATCTAATTTTAGTTTATAAGTAAAGATAATAAAAATTATAATAAAAATATAAAGATATATGACATATTATCTAAATAAAAACAAATGATATTTGCTCCTAATACTTAGAAACTCGTCAAATTCTCAACAGTCCATTCTCAATATATCAAGCTCTCAAAAAATAAAACCCCGAAGAAAATTACAAATTATTTAACACTTTAAAATTAATTCAAAAATTGTAAAACTTTTATTAAATATTTTCGATTTCTTTTCTTTTTTCCTTTTTCTTATTTATGCACCTTCTAATCTGTAATTTATTTGAGATAAAGTATGCTAAAATCCTATGTAATTGAAGCCTTAATGCATTATTCAATAAAATATAAATACATAACTGAATAATAAAATTAAATAAATTTAAAATGAAAAAATTACTATCTAACTAAAACAACTACATTTGATTATTGCATCACATTTTTTATAATATAGAACTTTTTATAACAATAAATTAAATAGTTTTTATAGTTCACAGACACCAATTTAATTATCCATTGTATTGTCTATGCTTAAAGAAAAATATGTTAATTTGTTTGTATCTGTCTCTTCATGCCCGAGTCTTAGTTATATTTAATTGATATTAGTGTATCAATATTGGCACCCTACGCTGATATCAAATACTCAATGTTTTTTAATAAGTCACAGTCGATAAAATAATATATACATTCGTAAAAATCAAGTAGAATAAGTTAGTCGTATAAATTATATAAAAAAAATAAAAATAATCTCTTGTTTAAATACTACGTTTCTATGACCGTATTTGGACGACTATATATTAAAACATAATAAATATATGTATACTATATTATATTTATAATTATTAATTAAACTTACTAACGGGACAGTACTAAATGCGTTTCCAGTTCCCTTCACCGGTCGTCCTATTTCCGGGGCAACTTTTACGCATATACGTCACAAAGATCATAATAATAGGTAGTAATAATAATTAATAAAGTAATAACAAGAACTATTCTACACACCGTCGTTATATTGATATATATATATATATATAATTTAAACTCAAAATAGACCTCGGTAACCCCACAAAGAATGGTGAACGGCTGAAATTCGCCGAATTTCTCCAAACCACCACTACAATTATTATTGGTCATGGTCGTGCCCAAAATCACGTATTACGAGGAATTCATTATTATTATCTTTATTTTTCGTTTCACCGTAGTCCGGTCTAACCACAAATAACTAAAACTAGGGCGCGATCGAAGGGTTAAGCCGCGTGCGACCGGTTCCGAATAAGTCAACGACCCCACGGCCCAGAAGTCGGTGACAGTAGCATCATAACATCGATGTCAGGTTCGGTGCAGTTCGTGTGTTTGTACACATAAAGTACCAGTACATAATAATATGTGTAATACAACAAGATTGGGTCAAGAACAGCGGCGGCGACAGAAACACGAGTGGAGAGCGTAGGCGGCTGTGGCTTTGGGTCCTGGTGGGGACTCGGAGAAACGGATATGCCGTCCGAAGAATAATTTGCCGGTTCCGCGCGGCGACGTGTTCAACTGATGCCAAGTCACTGCTCAGTTCGTCTACTACTGTGGGTCTCTCCGTGGATATTTCGCTGTCGCAACGCGTCCTCGACATAACGATAATAATAATATAGCTATTGAACTTGTACCGTGGCGTAAAATATAAGTAAGACATCGCGTCGCAGAAGTGTCTGTACACACAGACGTACTTGACCGTCTTGATTGTACAATATCTTAATAATATTATTGACGTACGAACGAGAAAAACTTCGACGAAATGTCCGCTTACACTGCAATGATCAAATCTTTCGCAGTTGCCGTCATTCTGTTTCAGATATCCGTCACTTTCGGTGAGCATGATATTATAATGTAATTGTACATATAATGGTCTTTGGTATTACAATATTATTACTATACTCTCTAAAATCAATAAGTCGCGATAAATTATGTATGTATAATGTCTCCTAAGATGGCCAGTCTCCGTGGATTTTATACTCTTCTGGATGAGATTTTACGCCTGATATTCTTACATTGTGTAGTTGCTGTATTGTATAATATTATTTTAACCGTAATTAAATTCTATTGTGTGCTTTTAGCCGATGCAGGTCACCACAGACGAGGCAAAGAACTGTTGGACACCGAAGACAGCGACTTCTTTCGGTGTAAACAAGCCACCAAGAAGGTAAACTATTTACATAATGTACAATTTAACATACACTTACAATATAAATGTATTAGGATAGTATAGGTATACAATACTCGTATATGGTGTTATAATATATTTTTATACACAACACTTAGATACACGATAATATTTTAAAACATTAAATTTTATATGGTAAAATAAAATATTCCAACTTAGGTATATTCTCACCGTGCTCACAATTTGGCCTGGATTTCAAAAAAAAAAAAAAAACATACACTCTCGCCAAAACCCAACAAAAGTACTTTATTAAGTGTAACAGATTTCTCCGTAACGCTTACATTATGTGAATAGTATAATAATATCGTGTACATAATAATTTATTTACGTTACACCGTAAAAATTCTTATAAATGTATTGTCATTTTATAACAATATTGATACAATAAATACGCTCATTGTGAAACACGTAAAATGCATTGGACGTTTTTGGAAATAATAATTTTAGTCCATCGTCCTAGTTGATTTAATTGAAAAAGTAAAAGTTCTTTTGTTAAAACTGCTATCCAACAATAAAACCGTTAAGATTTGTTTGAAAATTTTCCTCGAATTCGGATCATAATGAATTAACTTTTATATTAGTCGCTAAAAGAAAATAATTTATTTTTACAATTAAAAATTTAAAGTTATTTTTTTTAGTTTTTATATACCATTTTTATTATACATATATATATATTTTATACAGAAAAATATCATGGAATAATAATAAGATATAGCATATGTAATAGTGTTACTGTCTTCATTGTATAGTATACATCAAGATATAATAAGTAATTTTTTGAAAATAACAAAATACAATAGTACAAAACAACAAAAGTTAAAAATTATATAACTTAGACATAGGTTATAATTGTTTATATTCTTGTAGTTATAAATTATAACTGTTAAAAATCTGATTTAAATTTAGACTAAACCGCTTTTACCATAAAATAAAATATTGCAGAATATTTAATATAATATCTAGATAATACAAAACTCCAAATGTTTTAAAAATTTTTTATAAATCAAAAAAATGTGTATTTTTATATTGATTTTTATATTTTTATGTAAGTTATTGCTTAGCTTTAAAGACAATATTTAAATTTTACCAAGATTACTTTCATCGAAATATTACTAAAAAAATAATTTAATTTAAAGTTTTATTTAAAAAAAAAAAAATAAGTATTCATTTTATTGTTTGAATTAAATTATTATTTACTTAGGTGTATACCTACCAACTTATATTACAGCATAATATTTTATAATTATAAATTTAAAATAAGTTCGATTAATATTTTTTTGTTTTAATTAAACAAAATATACTTCAAAATGTTTTATCCAATTCTTAAGAAATAGGTTTACATCTAATTGACATTTTAAATTTTTTATATTATCGCAAATTTCATATTATTTATATTCAGTTCAGAATTACTTAAGACGAAAACAACAAAATTGAATAATTATTTAAATTTTTAATTAATTCTTATTAAAACCATACACTAAAGACTTTTGAAATACTCATGTAAAAACTTTAGTCTGATTTAACTTGGTAAAATATTCGATTGAGTAGTCGATTTTAATTAACTTGTCGACTACAGTTTGGGTAAAAACTTGCTGAGAAATTAAACAGTACTGCTTGTTTTTCCTTTAAAATGTTATATAATTTATATAAAAGATGAAACAAAAACAACGCAATTGTGCTTAAAAAGTTTTTTTTTAGCAAGTCATACACGGATAATATATTAAAACAATTGAATGTATTTTTTTTTTATTATTATTATTTAATATTAAAGTTAACCCTTATAAACAAAATATTTTGAAAAAATTATAAAATATCAATTATTTTAGTTATTAATATAAAATATTTCAAATATTTCAATATTAAAAATGAGTATTTATTTCTAATAACTATATAATTTTTGCTTAAGTAGAAAATATGTAGTTGTAAAATATTTAATTAACTAAGAATAATCACATAAATTTTTCATCTTCAAATAACATTTTATACAATTATTATGTTTCTTTGTATTTAAAACAAGAATTCTGCAGGTACACATTAGATATATGAGTTTCAAATAAAAACGTTTCTGTTATTAAATAATTTTTAATGCACCTATTATTTTTTGATAGTCTGCCAAAATATTCTCAAGTAGACATGATTTTTTTTCTCTAAATTATCCAGGTCGATGGTACGATGGTTAGTTTAAGTTTGTTTTTGTTAGCAACCACTCTTAACTTAATTTAATGATATTTTTTTTAACCACAAACTTCCAACAAAGTGTTATAAAAATAGAAGTATTTATAAACTAAAACAAAAAACTCTTAGTTTTTAATCAAGTCCTGTGTTTTTGAAAAAATAAATAAAATAAAAACTACTTTTTTTTTTTTTTTTTAAGTCATGTTGTGGCCCAGAAAATGCGATGAAACGATTTGGCGATAAAGACAAAGTAGCAGCTGACGAGTGTTACGCACAAGTAGCTGAAAAGTTTGCAACAGTTACAGGTAAATTTAATTATGTTCAAAATTAACTCAGTCAATTTAGTATTTAGTATATAAAGTCTGTTTAAATTAACTTCATATAGATAAAAATATATTAGGCATGTACATTTTATTATTTTTACCATATTTCGCTTTTTGTATAGATTTGATTCGTAGATTAGTATTCTTATAATCCATATTATGATATTAGGTAGGCACATTAAATATTTTAGTAAAGATAATATTTCTATCTTTCATACTCAAAGTTATTTAATGGTGACATCGAAGTCAATAATTGTGTAGTATTAAATAAATTTCCTATACATTGACGGTTGATGATATAAAACAATATTCAATAATATCATAATTTTATTATCAGTAAAACGTTATTAATCGTAATTTCGACTAATCGTTTGAAAAAAACAAATAATTTTGATCATAGGTATCATAGTTATCTAATGCAAGTAATTATTAAAATATTATTTTTTTTTTTAATATATAAAAACAATAATGATATCATACTGTATTATTTTGAATAGCATAGTAAAAACGTATATAATAATAATATATGCGTTTTTAATAATATAATCACGTTGCGATAATTTTGAACTAAAACTTTCTACATTATGGTTTCCATTCAACTACGAATTTTAAGGTTTTGAATTTTTGACCTCTAAACTTTCTCCTTCACGTTTATATTAAGCGGGCATTCAACCTAACTAATTATGTTAAAACAATAATGTTTATTTATATGTAATACATATAAATAAAAATATTCTAAATAAATTAGTTTTGATTCACTAATTGAAAAACCTATAAATCGAACTAAAAATGGACGTTTTTATCTAAATTTTATAAAAAATTAAATATTTAACAATATACTTTCATACCATTATGTGTATTGTTTTTTAAAAGTACTTTTTGATCAAGTTTATATTAAAATTAGAACACTGTCTACCTTTATTTAAAAATCTAGTTTAAATAAAAAATATATTAGAAATGAATACTTGCATCCTCCTTTAAATTTCTTCAAACTATATATTTTAGTCCTTAAAATATCGTATGGCGTATACCTAACTACTAATAGTTATCTATACAAGTTATTTTCAATCGTTTTTATACTGGCCAGTAATATGGCGGTATCAATAAACATGAAATGTTATCCACAAATTTTCATTATTATTTATTTTCCAATAAATTCAAAACGCTCTGATTTTAGGTGAGAATAAAATTTCAAACTTGTTTAATATTATTATGCAAGTATGAGTATCGATCGAGTTCTGTAAAATATTTATCGTTGGCATTTGTATCCCCATGCGCAAACCTATGCATATTATATGAGATGGTCAGTTGTATTTTTCACAAATTCGTTTGGTATGTACAGTAGGTAAGTTTCGAATTAATTAAAAAAAGGGATCAGTAAAAGGATTTGAATAAAATTATCCCCTTCGTCTAAATTGACAAGTTCGGGATTAAAATCTAGACTATACAAGCACATGTGTTGCAAACATCATGTTAGTATAATATCGAAGTAATTTTTCATTATAAAATTACTATTAGATAACACGAATGTCATTTTAAATTAACAAAAACTAATTCTCGACACTTGGTCAGCAACGTAAATCTCCAGAAAACACATACATGCAATGAACGATATAATCATTCCAGTACATGTCCAGATTAGTAAATTTCGTCTTTTGAGTATACACTTTGGAGTACCAATATATTAAGTTCATAATTAATATTTTGTTTTTGAAAATGTATACATATAATAATAAAACAACAACGTGCTTTTGGTATTTTAAACGTACACGAAAATTAATTTGCAGTATATATTATATGCAAATTCATATCGCCCATTCAAACCAGGTTACAAGCGTATTATGTTTAAGATATTTAAAATCCAAATTAATATTATACTTTGAACAGTTTGTTTTATTTTATTGAAAATGATTTAATTTCAATCACACCATGTACATTTCATATTATACCTACATGTAAATGATTAAAAAAATTACTTCATACCTTCCTAAAAGCTTGACTTACAAACATAATAACATAAATTACAATCAATTTAAATATAATCGCTTTTTATCTGGAGAGTCCACAAAAAAAAATTAACAATAATAAAATTATAATTATATATTAATTATAAAATTATACACTTACAACAATACGACACTAATTATAGTTTAATATTGATTAAAATAAAATAAATTTATCATAATCATGCATATATATTACGTATTAAAATATTATTTATATTTTATCATAATATAACTACATTAAATTAGCTACTTTTGATTATTGTGCTGGAATTTTATTTTCAATAGTTATGTTTTTGCGTAATGAAGAAGTTTAATAATAATAAATAGTTTAAACATTTTAACAAAATCAATTTTTGGTGATTAAAAAAATAAAAAAAATTATGAAATGTAATAAATTAGTTAACTACATAAAATACTGACATTACTTTAAAGAAAAATATTCAATAATAAAATATCTTGGTATCATATAATTGTATTTGACGATTTTACAGCTACTACACCCAAACCAGACTTGTTTTCCAGTGAAGCTGTAAAGATTACCAAGAAAAAGCAATTCGTGAGTGTTTTTTTCTAAATTTACAAATTAAATTTGTGTATTTTAATCGAACGGCTCATTTTTTTTTTTTTTTTTTTTATTTGCATTCCAGTGTCTTCACGAATGTATCGGAAAGAAAAACAAATTGGTATAGAAATTAATATTAAATATAATATTAGAAAAAAATAATAATATGTAATTTAAAATTTATTTAGCTCGCCGAAGACGGTTCACTGAACAAAACGTTTATAGCTGATTACGCAATGAGGAGCGTCTTCAAAGAACAGTGGCAGAAACAAATAGGGCAAAAGGCCTTGGACAAATGCCTCGAGGAGACCTATAGTAAGTATACCCACATATCTTATTGTCTGTATATACGTAATTTTACACGGCAGCGAGCACCACGGAAAACAATACGCCCAATGACTATATATTGAACGAAGCCTTTATCGAGATTTTTAAAAAATAACACGCGTAGAACAAAAAATATATAAAATTCAATCGTTATATTATCTATATTTTATAAGCAAACCAACGTCAGAGTCGCCGTGAACCGGTACACTGTATAACATTTTTCGGGTGTATGCATACATATTATATGTTACTTAACCTAAATATTTTCATAAACTTTATTTTTTAATTAATTTGTAACCATGGAAATAGTACGTTTTGTAAAATAGGTTATTTTCAGTATTTGTACGTTTTAAAAATTTAAAATAGAAAAATAGTACATTTTTGAATAAAATATTTGATATCAGTTATCAAGTAGTTCTTTCATAAAAAGTCAGTTATGTAATTTCATTGAATAGTACGTTTGGATGCAAAAATTTAAAAAAAAAAAGCTGATATTTTAATGTATATTTTAAATGATAATAATCGTTTACAATAAAAAAAAAAAAAACGACACTTGTCTTATTGATTTTTCTGTATAATTTGACAAATAACACAAACGCAATTTAAAATTTTAATTTTCGTAGTCCAATCGAGTAAATAATACATACTCACAGTATATGTATAGTCTTCTACGTATAATTTGAAAGTTAATATCTATGCTGAACTTAATATTTCTAAATTATGATAAAAATTGTATTTAAAAATAAATATTTATGTTTAAATATTACGTATAAATAAAAATATATTTATTCTTCTAGCACAAATGTGTTTTAAATCAAAAATCCATTAATGTTAACGATCAATACAAAAAAAAAAAATGTATAAATGAACAATTCGACCAAAAGGCTTAGAAATGCTATTATTTATATACGCGCACTTTCTATGTACCTACCTACCTAGCAAAACGATTGCCACATTATAAGTTTCTTTGTAATATGAGCTTTGTAAAAATGGTAAACTCCCCATTATGGTAACGGTGTTAGTTAACTTACCAATAGCATACCGTAAGTCCTGCAAAATCGATATTATATTAAACATTTTTCAGTGCAGAAATTGTTTGATAATTTCCATTGTAATTAATTCACTTATCAGATCTTCAAAAAATGTTATTGTTTATCGAAGAATTTTACTAAAATCGTAATCTTTAAAAATCTTATTATGCTTTATCAAAATATTAATTAATTTGTTTATAATAAATACAAAGTCATTGGCCGTCATTATCGTATATTAAAAATATAACCATATCCAAAATTAAAATAAATTGCAGTATAATATCAATAAAAGGTTATAACTTCAAGTCGCGTGTCGTATGTACATGTACATTTTAAAAATTGTAATAGCTGTACGGGTAATAAATTATAATATTAAAATAAGTATATTTAGTTTATTAATTTCGTCCCAATTTATATGAAAATGTATTTTTGGAATAACTTAAATACATAATGCACTGCTATACTGAATACGACGCGACGGTTAGTTTGTATTTGTTATTGCTATTCAATAATGAAATTATTAGAAAATCATAATAGTATAATAACAACGAAATACGTTATAATTAAAAACATCGAATCATATACAGCAATATTTTATTTATTTGTTTTACATTTTCTATATTTAATGATGAAATTAGATTGTATGATAGCTTCAGCAAATGAGCATAGTGCACATTGGCATAATATTTGTATCATTACATTAATATATAAACATACGTAAATAAATACTATTACAAACCCCTTTTCTATTTACATATTGTATTAGTCTTTGTTTTGAATTAATTTAAATAATTTAATATGCAAGCTTTTGACTCGAATTAATTTGTAAAATTGTTGATTCAATTGAATCTCTGTAACCGACTGATGAAATCATTGCGTTATCGATTAATCAATTCAATACTTTCAACAAAATAACAATTTATACATAAAATACCAAAATAATATAATTTACTAAGTACATTGTACCTATTATTATGAAACCATACAATTTGTTTCAGTACCATGGCCAGCAGAAGAAACAGAACACAAATGTAATCCAGTATACGTACAATTCCAACACTGCCTGTGGTTCGAATACGAATCGGTAAGTTCGAAACGCTGTTGTTAATTCCATTTATTTTTTACACTCGAATAGATAATTTTTTCTATTATCCAAAAACAATATATACTAGTATCATACTTACATATTATACTAGAGTGGTGTAATAGTAATATCATTTTATAACGTACATGTACAATCAACTAACGATGCCGAAACCTTCTCGCGTTCCTCTAAACGCAGAAACCTGATGTTAAAAGTTTAAAACGTTTATTTGTGATTTATTCATCAGAATTCCATGAGCCTATAATAAATAGTACTTAAATTTTAAACGAAAATTTTTCAAACGAAATAATAATAAAAATTAACAACTCGTCTATAGAATTTAATATTCAACACAAAACAAATATTGTACTTCAAGCACACAATTCAGTTAAAGATGTTTTCGCATTGCATCAAGACTCTTTTTTCAATTTTTAACTTTTATACAGTATATTTTTTGTGCATTTTTAAATGTGCATTTTTTACTCCGATGTTATCTTTCATGTTTTTAATTTGTAACATTTTATTGTACTACAAAAAATGTACATTTTTTTTTCAAAAGTTTGTGTCGACTCTTTATTTGAAAAAATATAATTTTTATAGGGTATAATTACCAACTAATCAATACCCTTTTGATAAATTAGAAAATTAAACAAAATTGTTTTGTAAAGAAAATTAACATTATATATTTTCAATTTAAAATATATGTACTTTAAATAATAATTGGCTTTTATTACATAATATTGCATAAAAAAATATATTCTTATTGGTACATAATATTAAATTTATCTAGTAATAAAAGTAATTACATCATAATACTCGTATGAATATAAGTTAAATATTTAACCAGTACTTTTATAATTCAAAAAATTATCAAAATATGTTAAATCATTTTTTTTCCACTGTAGATTTATTAGAGTGTTTGAAGAATTAAAATAATATTTGTATTGGTAATTAATGCTTATTATTTTATGAATAATATTAGAATAATATTTTGAAAACTGTAAAAAAATCATTTCTTGATCAAGATAACATATAATTTTTCATTAGTTTTTGTAAAATCATCAATAACACAATAATATTATTCATTAAAGTATAATTATACTATAAGCTAAAATTAAATATGATATATTTTTATTAAGTTATGTATATATTATATATATAAACAAAATGTGTTTGCCAAATAATAGAATACTCAATAAAATAGAAAATTAATTAAAATTTATCTATTTAATTTAAAAACATTCTTAAAAAAATTAAAATAAATTTTTAATATTTTCATAATTCTAATATACTTATTTGGTCATTAAGTAAATATAAATAAAAATAATATAACATTAAATTTTTTATTTACGTTACCCCATACTATTACTAATAATTAATAACTAAACAATATACGTAACTAAACGTGTGAAGCATTCAATTTACAGGTGATTAATTTTGTACTGTTTATTTTATTCTATAAAATAATATACTTCATGATAAAGTACCTTCACTGGGAGACCTCATCATTCCTTTATTTCTATGGCATTATTTTATTTTATTTATTGTTTGATCGATCTTTTTCTTCTAACTTGCAACAGATTGCTTAACAAATAATTTTTTAAAATAATATTATTTTATGTATAAGTTAGATGCTTTGACAGTTTAAGACCTGACATTTAAACATATAATCACACTTAAATTAATATTTATTTTCAATATATGCTATACTTAATAAATATTTTTTTTGTTTTAATTTTTTTCAGAACTGTCCAAATGATAAAATTAAGCTAACCAAGTATATTCATAAATTGTATCATATTTTTATAATATAATAATAATAATTTGTTCAATCATAGCCAAAAAATGCGAAAAGACACGAAAGCGATACAGGATGCAAAAATCGCCATCAAACTAATGATCTGCAAATTAATGATATTACTACTCTGATTGAAAAACTTTGGAATAAATAAAACATATTACACACGTTTTCAGTCAGTTCATTAAAATTAAAATCTATCGTTTAGCTTCATTATTATTTTTATTATTATTATTATTTTGTTGTGAGTACTTTTGGAAGGTTTAAAAATAATAATAACTAATTGTATGGAGTTAAGATCCCACCATGGTTTTATTTTTTTTATTATATTTTATTGTTTTTTAATTGTTTACACATAAAATAATTATGCTGTTTTTATATGAACTGTGTTAATGAACACATATTTTATATATTATCATATTATATTGTATTATAATTTACTGTCACGCATATAAATTCTGTACACTATTATTATTATTATTATTATTTTAATGTAGTATAATTTATAACTTTAATAATTTTATTTAATCTACAACATTTTTGAGCTATCATTTGATTTATTTTGTTTTTATTAATAAATTATGATTAAATACTATTTATAAAAATATATTTTTTTTTCATCTTATAAATTGATTTATTTTTATGTTTTATATGACGGTTTCAAAAATAATGTTTTTAATACCTAATGACATTAAATTAGCTAAATTAATTTGAACTTAATTGAAAAATGAAAATAAAAAAGATCAGTCTCCATAGTGACCATTTCTGTAAAATCCCTATTCAATATTGAACATAGTTTTGGTCATATTCCGTTCAAATAAGACTTATACTGAATATCTTCAACTTGCGGTGTTCCACAGTACCAACGTCCAATTAAATACCATAAAACCGTCTACAAAAAAGAAAATCTATATATATATATATATATATATATATAAATAAAAACAAAAATGGGGAAAAGTTTAATGACGTCTGTGGTAGTCGTAATGGAGTTTGAAAAGCGCTAATATGCGTTCCGAATCATCGTCGTTATCATTATCCTTATTATTTTGATCATTATCGTAATTATATTACTTTATTATCTAGATCTTAATTGTAATTATTATTATTGCCTTGTTCGTCATTGTTATCATTATTATTATTATTATTATTAATATTCCGATAACTAATTGTATTATATGTTTAATGTCCCACTACATTATACTCAACTCATAGTTAAGTATATAAGTATTTTATTTATTATAGTCAATATGCTGTAACTATGAGTCTCACATGGTAAGATAAAAAGTTCCGTTGATTATGTATCCTCGTATATTTTTAAGTTAGTTATGATTTATATGATACCAGGCACTAGCCGATCCGTCACGGCTTTGCCCGTGATTGGTTACTTATTTTGCCTTCGGACGATATTTATAGAATTTTTTTATTCAAATTTTATCGTTTAATGTGATCCGCAAGTAAATATAAAAACAGTTAATAAAAACGTATTGAAATGTTTCTAGCGGTATAAATGATAAATATATTTTCATTGAAAATAAATAGAGAAATAAAATAAATTTTAAATAATCTGTTATTAATAAAGAGTTTCATAAAACTTCTGAGTATATAACGTTTTTTGTTATATCTCCTATTGAAATCAAAACCCTTAGATGATTCAAGTCCCCAGTTCGAGAAAATCCACGAATAATTGTCCATGTGAAAAGCACTCTGAACGAATATCTACGCCAACGTAGTTAAATATTTGACCTTGAGCTTTGTTGATCGTAATCGAAAAAGAAACTTTAATAGGGAATTGAAGCCGTTTGAAAGAAAACGGCAAGTCAGTGGAAATCATCGAAATTCTTCGAATAAATGTAATTTCACCTTTTGCTGAACTTGTAGGAATTATATTTTCTATAATATTTCGCAAAGATTTCATTTATAGACTTGTACCGTTAAATAACGTTGGTCATTAGAGATTAGGTACGTAATAATTTAATTAGAGCACTAACTTTTAATTTTAATTTATGAGGAGAAAATCTCCCGAAGGATAAAAATAATTGAAAAATGCTTGTGGATGTAACTGTATTAATAGATATTCACATTAAGTTAACCGATTTAGCTGAAATTTTTTACTACTAAAACTGATAGTCTGCTCAAGGTCAAACATTTAACTCTGTTAGCATAAGTGATAAGTGATACATAATCGGTAAACTTTACTTTTTTTTTTAGGTATGACGCTTATGTCCGAGAGTAGGCCTGAGAACCTAGTTTAGACACCTATTTGGCAGAATTTTAAGTTGGGCACCCGTAGGTTTCTGTTGTTTGTGGTTAAATAGGCGTCTGAACTAGGCCTTCAAGCCTACTCCCGGACATAAACGCCATACGCATATCGGTTAACTACTTTAATTTGATTGAAAGTCAACTAAATGGAAAGTTTTGTTGTTTATTTAGGGTTAACAATGGTTAAAGAAAATAAAATTTAAAAAAATTAAAATAAATATACATCTATATTGCTATGTGAATTTTTTAATTTTTCTAGAACATTACATTTAGTTATTAACAAAATACTGACTATAGAATTAAAAATATACAAATACATAAATTTATAAAAAAAAAACTTGAATGTACGCCATACCGACGTAGATAACAAAATAATGTGGTTTATGAGTTTTATTAACTTCATAAAATTAACTGACGAACTACGATTTATCATTACGACCGTAACTTACTAATAAAAATATTTTGGTGTATCTACATAAAATAAATTATTAAACTGCAATTATCGTCTTTGAAAATTATTATAATATGTATTTTTGTGATGTTTAATTTATCTTCTAAAATAATATAAATCGAGCATATTTTTTTATTAAGCTACCAAATTTGAAAAAAAACGAATAAACATATATACATATTAATAAGTAATATCCTATTAATGTGAGTTATGATTAAGGCTTATTTATGAATAATTGATAATAAAGCCAGTTAATGACATTATGTCTATGTTTTCTAACAGCATTATCCATATGACTACAAGTCTTACTTCTTTTACATTTTTATCTTTTTAACAGCACTCTATACTTCTCCTCAACTACCATGTCAGTCATACCATAACTATGCCTAAAATCCATGCTAATTCTTCTGTTTTATTTTTCAAAGAAATTTTTCAATCACGTCTCTTTGATATATTTTTGATACTTTTTTTTTTAACTTCTTGTAAATGGTCAAAACTTTATTAGCTTACTCTTCATACACTAAATATTCTGAAAATCTCTGGACACTTTTCCATGAATCTTAATCGATTTTTAGTTATATTTCCTTTTTATCTCTTTTTCCTAGGTTCTCATCAGTTAATATATTTTTAAATTTAATTTCTTTACTACATTTTTTTATTTATTCTTTTAAACTCTGATCACTCTTTACTATTTTTATTTCTATTATATCATTTTAAATTAATTTTTCTTCCTTACTATTGTATCCTATACCCATTATTATCTTAACACATTGTGTTCTTTTCCTATAGCTCACTTTTACTCCATTAACAATACCAATTACCACACTTTTAACTATATTTTCTACTTTTTTTTAAAATTTACTTTATATTTCCCTCCATGTTTTACACTTTTTTTTTAATTTCAATTTCCTTATAAATAATTTTACATTTTCACTCATTGAAATCACTGGTTCCAGGTTCCAGCTCAAAAGTTAGTTTAAGCCTATTAAAAAAACACATTAAGAAATTAGATACTGCTAGAGCCTAGAACAGAGTCTAAAGTATACAAACCATCACCAATCATAGCATAAGGTGTTTAAGATATACTAAACTCAATAGGTAATTTAAATTTCAAAGAAACTACTAGCCATATACAGCAGCTAAAATCGATTTTCAATGGTAACATAAAAATATCGATGAATAATAAGCACCAGCTTAAATAAACATTAAAAACTCTCGAAAATAACAACATTTAGTATCATAAAATACCAATTGAATTAAAAAGAAGTTCACAGATTTCACCCTCTCACTACTTAATTTTCATTCTCTTAACAGTTCTTTTCTTTTGACTACATATCTCCCTATGATATGTTACACATTTTCTTGGAATTACTTTACATTTCATTCCTTTAAGGACTCTCTAATTCTCCATAAAAAACAATCTAAATGTGACCTATTTCTTTCACCTTTAAAATGCATGTAATATTCTTCCTACAAAAAGTACGTATTCTTATTGCCAATTCATACCTACGTAAACTAAAGTACTCATTCCTACGTTTTATTCCTATTCTTTAAAAACCATATAGTTTTATTCAAGAATTCACTCATACTCTAACCCATTGCTCTCTAAATATTTATTTGTGCCATAACTCATCATGATGTTTTCAGTTCATAATAACTCATCATTATTTTTTTTTAATTAAATCTTTAGAACACTCCCTGCATATAGATTGTGAAGCATAATATTAAATACTTATACTAAGTATAATTTATCACTTTATTATATAGATTTACTTTTACATCATTATTGATTATTGTATTATTTTTCACCAAAACCTTTACTATATTTCCTTTCAATTTATATATTTATCTTCTAACACACTCACTTAATTATTGTAGCCTTAAGGAGTACGTATATTATCTTATACTTCTTCCCAGTTTTCTTTTCTCCCTTCCGTCAACTTAGATTCTTTGCGCTAAAACAAATACTCACATCACTTTTCTTCAATACCACAACTAACTCCCAAATCTCACCAGTCATTTCAAGCACTTTTATTCTGTACTCCTTATACAAAAATAGTAATAGATTAAAACCCAAAGGCGTATAATATAACTTCCATACAAGGTAGATAATTAAATCTGATTTTCTGCTAGAAACTTTCACTTAAGTTAATTATTAGAGTATTTTATCAACTAGGTACAAAAAATTTCTTCAGCTACGTACATAAAAAACATACATTATTCTAAATAATTACATAGAAGAAATCTTGTATGAAATATTTAAGCTTCTAACCGAAAAATAACAATTTTAGTAATTTAAGCTGAAAAATCTATTATATATTACCTAAAATTAACAGTTTTTTTAAAAATAATTTTTCAAGAACTAAAACTTAAAATTTAAGTATAATGTTATTAAACTGAAATTCCACAAGTCATTAAAAATAAGTTTTCGTTTTAATAAGTTTTAAAAACTGTTGATATAAAATACAACTTTTGAAATAAATATACGATACACCAACGTGTTTGTTTTATAATTTTTTTTTACCTCGATAAAAAAAAAAAATTTAATTTAAACTTAAATTTAGACTAAAAACTTGACAATTGCTTTTGGTTTTAAGGGATCTAAAAGTTTTTGTAATTTATAGCATAATATGCATATTTTAATTATCATATAGTTGTACGTGATGATAGTTATTTGAACTAGTAATTACTTTAAATATTATATAATTTATTACGTATACATTTTTTTACACCCATACACGA